TAGCTCTCGTGTACTTAGGGCTCCACTAATCTTTTCTTTATCTACTTTCAAATCTAATTCAATTTTTGGAAGATAAAATTTAGATGTAATTTTTAAGTATGTTTTCTCTTAACTTTTTAATTAAAATTAAAGTTTTACTTAAATTTTATGTTTTGCTTTTTTTCATTTAACGTTGTTAACTTTTTTAATAGTAAGGGCTAACTAAAATATTTACTTGGGTAAGAATTAAGAACTAAATTGTAACTTTTTTTTTAATGTAGGGATCAAATTAAAGAAAATGTCAAGTATATGAACTTAATTTATAATGTAACCAAAAATAAATCTTGGATATAATATTATAAGTATATTTTACGTTGTTCTCCCATAAAAAAAGTCTTAATTTTGTAATTAAATAAACAACTTTTTGTTATGAAATATTAGCATTAATTTATACTTTAACACTAATTTTAATGAAAAATATAATTAAAACACGTAAAGTAATATACCAAATTTAGGCTTAATGCCTTTGAATTGTAGAGAATAATAACTTTTCTCTCATCTCTCATCTCTCATCATCGTTGATTCAAAAATTAGATCTCATTAAAAAAATACAAAATTAGAATCTCATTCAGATTACTCTCATAGACACTCATTCAAATCCAAAACGCAAGATAACACTGTAGCAATACATGTAAACTAAACTAAGAGAAAGTAAAAACTGAGCTAAAACTTGGTTTACCACCATTTCCTAAAATTCAGCGAGAGAGAAAACAACGTTTACACAATGAATAAAGAATGAGTTTAGCATTTGAGCTTACAATGAGATTTGAGGTTGGTTCTGCGCAAGCACGCAACTTGGTGCGACAATGACATACGAAATGTTGAAACAAATAGAAAGAAAATACTAACAACCTAAGACATAAAAAGAGCTCTGTCCTTAAAAATCTTTCAAGATTCATAGACTCTTCCAAAAATTTTTATTGAATAAACAGAACAATAAATAGATAGAATTCATGAAAATTTGTTCGATGAATATACCATTGTTACTAGCTCCTTCTTATAAAAAAGTTTTGAGGAGATAAGTTGAAATTTCAATAATAATAAAAAAAAAACATTTGAATTTAGGTAGTTAACTGAATATATGATTTAAAAGCAAATTATTATAGCAGCAATTGGGATCCGTTGAAAGCTTTCAAACAACTAAATATAATAACTCAATCAAATTAAATTACAATCGAGCCAAATCTGTGCACGTTTCAATTGAAATTTAACGCGCCAGAATACAAGCAAAATTTATACACTTATATATTAACAACTTTTTTTATAAAATGTGACATATTGATTAATATAAATGATAAATTATTTTATATTATTTTTTATGATTATGTATATTAAATTTTATATAAGTTTGATGTTTATAAATATGTTATCTAAAATTTAATATTTGTTCATATTTTAAAAATATATTATTTATTAAAATAAAATAATATGTTAAAGTCTTTATTAATTTTATTTTTGTATAACTTTTTAAATTGATTTATTTGATAATTTTTTTTAAATAATTAATTAAATTATTTAATATCTTATTTTATAAAAAATATTAAATAATATAAATATCAAAGTTTAATCCTTAGTGTTAGGATCAAATGACATCAAGAATTAAATTTAAACATTTATATTATTTAATAAATTTTTATAAAATATAAAATTAATTAATTTAATTGTTAAAATATCTTAATTATCTTTATAATTATATGTATCAACGTTTACATTATTCAAAATTTGATATTTATTCATCTTTTAAAAATATATTATCTATTAAAAAGTAATATAATAAAATATTAAATTATTTTAATTTAGTATTAAATTTTATAAAATTAACTTATTTGATAAAATTTTTAAATTAACTATAGAATTTATTAATTAAAAAATTTATAAAAATTATTAAATAATATAAATGATAAAGTTTGACATTAAATATTAAAATATTTTAACTTTTTTTATATGTATATATGTAGATATATATAATTACACTTAAAATAATTAAAAATATTAAAATTTATTTTCTTCAAATCCTAATATTATATTTATAATAAATTATTAAATATTTAAACAAAATAACCTAAAAAGTTAAAATTGAATAAAAAATCAATGGAAAAATAAAATTAGCTTAAATTTAAAATTAATTAAACTTATTTATATCAAACAAATGGAGAATCACGCAATTCAAACTAAAGAAATCAATAGTAAATACAACTTAGACAACTTTCTCATTTTCTCCTAACGATTAAAGTTTAATTAAGATTTTTCCTCCTAAAGATTCAAGTTAAATTAAGATTCAAGATCGTACCAAATAAATGGAAAAGATATCAAATAGAAGGGCATAAAAAATGGATAAAATTTATGCACATAATTTTTATAATAATTTTTCCTAACCAAATAAAAAGATAATATCAAATTTAAAAAATATTAACCAGAGTTCTTACGATACTATTAAAAGAATTTATCTTTGAGTATATAAATTAATTGATAAAAAAATTATTTCATCTTAACACATGTACTTGAATTCGAGTAGGAGAGATCTATATATTATATGCATAGTCTAAGTAAAAAAATTAAAGATTATTTTTATTAAAAATATAATGATCTAAAACTTTTTAAATAATTTTTAATACACTCAACATATTTTTGAATGATTTATTGATTCTTTAATTAGTATTTTAAGAGACTAATTAATAATTTTATTAAATTTTATATAATAAAAAAATAATCAACTTAAAATTATCAGTCATGTCAAGGAGAAAACTATGTTAACAAGGAAGACGTTACCCATTATTCAAGCAAGAAGTGTTGTAGTAAAAAAACTTTAAGACGTCACCTATTATCCTAAAATCTCTTTTATTAAAAATTCTATTTATACGTAGAGTTAGAATAATTTTTAATACAATTTTAAAATAATTTTAATACAATCTTTTTAACCAATACTTTAAAGATAATAGTTAACAAGATCCTTAAAAAGCATATAATTTTATTAAATTTAATATTTAAAAATGATTTTTAAGTAGAGTCGGGAACCTTAGGTCTGCAGTTAATTTTAAATATTTTTTTATTTTTTAAAAAATATACCAATTTAAATTATTTTATTATAAATTTACTGTATTATTTTTTATTAATAAAATTATGTAATTTAAAAATTATTTTTTAATATGTTTAAAGGAATATGATAAACAAATTTATTAAAAATTGTATTATTTAATAATATTAATACATTATATACTATAATTTTCAATAAAAACTTATCATATAAGTTTTTATAACGTGTTACACATATTAAAAATTTATTTAAAATTATGAATATAAATGTTAATATTTTAAGATATTTTATTACTAATATAAATGTTTATAAAAAATTATTATTATTTACAATAAAAACTATGAAAAGTATTTTCTTTTAAGAATAAAATTTTATAATTTAAAAATTACAAAATTTGATAAAATATTTAAAAGTTCAATTTTTTTTAAAACAATATAAAAATTAGTAATTTACATTACACTAATTTGTTATAATAATTTTGTCAGAGATCTAAAAATTTTAAATATGACCCTAAGTTTGCGTAACCAATAATAATAAAATGTATGTTTAAAAATATTTATTACACTTTTATATATTTATCAAAAGAATTTTTTTAATAAAAATTATTATTTAAATATGATTACAATTAACAAAACTAAATTTTTAAAAAATGACTTCGACGTGTGAGTGTGATGCTTGCAGTCAATCGGTAGTCAACCCACTTTTATAGGACGAAGTTTATAGTTGCAATCACTTTTATAAATAAAAAAGCACTTTTAAAAAAATTAATATATAAAAAAATAAAAAAATTACATTAATAGTATATTTTTTTAAGCATATTAAAAATTAAATCGTGCCTTCATTAAACAAAACTAAAATAAATATTTAAATAAATTTTAAATATTCAAAACTAGTATTTTAACCGGTCTTTCGATTATTTAATTTATTTAAAAAATTTAAATATATAAATATAAAAAATGCGTACGTATATGTTATACAGATATAAAATTCAATTTAATAATATAATAATTCAATTTTAAAGTAGAACATTAAAACTAGTGCAATTCAAACAAAAAATATTATTTAGAATTTTAACAGCATTCAACTAAATTTAAAGTGGTTGTTGAATCAAATATCTCTCGCTCTTTCTCTTTATATATATATATATATATATATATATATATATATATTAAATAAGAATAATTTTATCTATGAGAACTAAAAATTAAATTTAATCATTAAATATTATAAATAATAAATATTAAAATAAAAAGTTGGGTATTTTTAAAAATTTATTTAAATTTTAAAATTAATTAAGTTTAATTAATTTTTAATATATGTGTGGTATTACCGTTCCAATATACTATTTTTATCTAAAAGAATGGCCTTCATACATATATGTATGGTTTTAATATCCTTGCAGCTTACGCACAAGCCAAACCGGCAATGGACTTGTGAAAGGACATGACTATCGCATGGTTAACACAAAACACGGGCAAAACTCACTCACTCGGTCGGTATGCCTTGCGATTTCTAACACAAGAAAGTGATTCCTGCACGACTTCATATCATCCCTGATTTGAAAGCTCAAACGGTTATTATGCCATTTTTTGATACTATATTCAATTCCGATAATAATTTGAAACTCAAAATTAAATTCTGATAATTATTAACTAAGTGAAAATGTTTGTGCTTTCCGAATGTTTAAAATTCTTTTTAAAATACTTTTTTTTTCATTTTAAAAAAGAAAAAACTCTTTTAAAAAATGCAAATAAACGTAATCTTAATAATTATAGTATTCTTTTCTTCTTAGTAACTGATTTGATATATTCGTTTGATAATTGCTATTAAAAGTCCATCTCCTTCACCTTGGTTACCCCAAGTTAATTACATCACCAGTTCTCTTTCTCAGTTTCTTCTCTATGCATTTTCAATGTTTTTTTTATTTAGTCAGGGTTGAAAGCATAATACAACTTGAAAGGTCAATATATACACATGAAAATTGATTTCTTTCTGGAGTTCTGTACACACCATACAACAACATAAGGTTCTAACCAGAAAGCAAGAAAATAGAATACAAATACAAATACAAAATCTGTAAGGCTAAACCTTTACAATCACTCATTCTCTAATGCACATAGCCAGCTTTAATTTCTTAATACGACTGTGAGGCGTGAGCATATCTTGTTCAATGATATTGACAACCAATCGATGCTTCTTTTGCGCATTTTAAGAAGGTGATGGTGTAATTCTATCTCAAATAGTTTGACCATCATCATCTCCAAGTAGAGCAAGAGAAAAAGGGGCAATGGCCACGTTAAATGCTCTCGAGCCTACTCGATCAACATGTATCATCTCAAAGTCACCTTCCTGCATTATAGGAGATTAGTTAGCTTTATGTTCAATTGAAAGGAAAGAGATCTAGAAATGCTTGAAACTTGAAGTCAATCATGAATTAAACAGACATTTATTTAAGTCATTGATAATAAGTATCAAATGAGTACAATCATTATTTTCCTCCCTTTTATGCAAAGTTAAAATGATAGTACATATTAGGCATTGACGTGAAAGTAGACATAAAATAGTGAAAAAGGATGCAGTCAATCATCTATATATGACCGTCAAATTCAATTAAGCCTTTAACTTTTGCTTTTGTTTTTCCAGTAATTGATCCGTTTAGTGCTGATTACAAAATTGATCATAATTTTTTTTTTTTTGGTTTCATGTCATAGCACCATCAACTATGACTTAAATGACCAAATATGTTTATCTTCAAAGGTCTATTACAGGTTTTTCTAGATACAAGCTTTCGAGGAATCAAGCAAAAGAATATAAAATGTCTTTTTTTTTTTGTCAGAAAAAATAACAACTGATTGATTGAAGCAAATTAATCAATATTCTTAACTATTCTGGACCCAGGCCAAATGCCATCGACAGTGTTGGATCTGTAACTATCGGTTGAGCTCAGTTGGGTATCCCATATCTCGGCCTAAATCCCCATGAGGATCTCCTTTTGAAAATTCCCAATCAAAATTATATTCTTACTCGTATTCTTCATATCTTTTTTTACAATTAAATGAGTGATTGAAAGAAAAAACAGATAAGTATTAAATAAGGCGAGTAATGTGATGTGAAAAGATAGAAGGAAAAAAACAGTTATAAGAAACTGTTGTGAACATATGTCACTATGAATAGAATAATATTCCCAACAACTCCATCATGGGAGACCTCAGAACTCTTCAACAGTTGGCACAAACCCAAATAATCCGATTTCTCTTACACGGCTAAGAGTCCCTCTCAACAATTATTAATTGACTTCGAGCATTGGAATGAATGTCTTTCTATATATTCACTCACCTATATCGCATGTCAACAATAAACACCACTGTTGAGGAGTAGTGAAGATAGTTACATTAGATTTCAGTCGTACATAACATAAATAATCTGATTTTTCTTTTTTTATCTATCTTGCTGATAACATCCACTGTTTGATTCCATAATACTCGTGCCATCTAAAGCTCTAATGCATCAATTTAATGCACCAAACACTAAGAGCAATATTCCAAGGGCATACTATCTTCAATTAATAAACTCAAAGCAACTCTTATTATCTAACATCATAAAAGAACAACAACAAAAACCTTTTCACACTAGGGTCGGATGACATCTGAGGAGGAGAAAAAAAACTTACCATTCGACCATTTTGTGTGCTTAATTGGCGTGCAGAACTATATTCAAAACTAGTCCTAGGAAGTATAGCTGGTTGTTGACCAAGAACCCCAATTCCCCTGCATGTGGAAAGTGAAGATAGTTACATTGAACTTGAACAAACGCGAGTTTAAAAGGACATGAAAAAAAACCTTGAAAGCATAAAGAACGTAGATAGCGTAGAAAAGAATAGTTAACTCACCAGACATTTTCAGTTTTACCATTAGCATCAGTTATAATCCAATGCGTTCTGAGAAGCTGAACAGGGCGGTTAGTGTTATTGGTAATTTTGATTTTATATGCAAAGAAATATATCTCCTTTGAAGGCTGACTTCTGCCCTCTATATATACACTCTTAACTTGGACTCGGATTCCCTGAATAAGTTGAAAATATACAGTTAAAAACTACATAATTACAATTATGTGGCGACTCACATGAAATAGGAATTCTCATTTCTTTCCTTTAGGAATTTATAGGAACAAATTTATTTTTAGGTACAACTAATTACAAACCAAAAAATCAGAAGTGTACAGTTTTCTACATGAAAAGGAAAAAGAAAAATGTAACATTTAGTTCTTAAAAAGAAATGGTATCCTGAAACTTGGGAAGTATGATATCCCAAACAGATGTATCAACCCACATGAAAACCATGGGTTAAATTGATTTTCCAAGAGAGCTACTTAGCATTGAACTAATTATTATACTGTGGCAGTTAACTTGATAGCAAGAAAGAACCATCTTAGGTCACAATACAATTGTTGTTAGTAAAAGTAGTATTCCTACCGAGGTTGTAACATCACTCGAACATTTCAAGAGAGAATGTGGGGCAATTTCATTTAACTCATTACGATATCTTGCTGCGTCCTGCATTCAACAATGTGTATTAGAACATTGGGTCACAAACACACACAAAAAAAAGTCAAATAAATGTAAACAGCAACATAAACTTGTCATATGTCCCAACTATATGGTTGACGACAAAGAGAGAGACAAGTAAAACGTGGAGCTTTCAATCAACAGAAAATCACAAATTAATAACAAAAATAGACACACCTCAAATCTCTCGTCAGCAATAGCTTCCTTCAACAACCTCCGCAGACGCAGAACCGGCACATCATCTTCAAAGCACTTCAACGAGTCACGAATCCTCGCAGCCTCTTCATAATTCTAACGTTTCAAATTCCCCAAAATAAGAAACCGCATTCATCATAAAAAAAAAAAAAAAACATTTTTCCCAAGAAAAAACAGTAACCTCAGACTTGGCAGCTGCGTCCATCCGGTGCTTCAACATGGCGTAATTGTGGCTCCGAGACAAGCTCAAACTCTCATTCCAGTTCCTCTCCGCACCGCCGCACGCTACGATCACTCTCCAATTCCCTCTCCTCCGGTTCCTGCAATTCATCACCGCCTCGGAGTCCGTCATAACGGCTGACCGTAAACCCAGGCAAAACTTGATGCTTAAAGACTGCATGTTCCTTCAAATTTTATAAACCAAAAAGAATCTGAAGCTCGAAGGTGCGAATCAAATCAGAATGGATTGGAATCAGATTAAGTAGCGTTGATATTTTAATTTGCCGTACATGAGAGTCACTTTTTGAACTGTGTGCTAGCACGTTTTCTGCGGGTTTCCTTTCTTCTATTGGATTTGGGGCTGTCACCGTTTTTTACGGGTTGATCATAAATCTGTGTCTGCATGCTAAAATTAAAGTTTTATAAAGTGAGATGCCGAATTTGCCATTGCGTATTTATAGAGATATTTAATTTCAAACGAGCACAGCTTGAAGCTAGTGCTTGTATTGAGGGTATTATGGGGAATGGGATAAATATTGCAAAATATTTAGCCTCGCTAATTATGTTAGATATTGTGCCTTAAACCACGCCGTAGCTGATATAGCGGCTACGGAGCAAAAGATTCTTGTCCTTAGATATAGGAAGGGGTATACTTAATCGGGAGTAAGTCATCTTAATTCATTTTGTTTAATAATTATTTATAGATATTCAATTTTATTATTGAATTGTTTAATCATATAATCCTATTTTTATTATTATGCATGTCAGAATCTGAACAAATTCAACATTCATAATTACATAATCTTATAATTAATATTCATTTATATTTAAAAATTTGTATTATTTGTTAGAATTAAATAAGTTTTATCAAATTTTGTAAATTTAATTTACTTATTCATAATCTAAAATCAATTGTTGAATTAAAAAATTATGTCTATAAATTATTATTGAATGGAATAAATTAACTAAAATTTACTTCTAAAGTACGTTAATTATTTTCCTTAGATAAAATAGGACGGTTCATATACATAATTAAACTTGATTTTAATTTTTTTAGACTATTTTATTAACTTTAATTATTTTAAACTTTTTATTTAAAAAAATTATATTTTTACTTATTTAAAAACATATATTTAGACATGCCATATCATATGACAATTTAAAAATATTTTGAGTTCAAATTTTATAAATGAATGTAATTGTGTTAAATACTAAAAAAAAAAAGTTTTGTCAGTCATAATAATTTTATTCAATTTTAATATGATTGTCTCTAATAAAAGATATATGTGGTTTAAACAAAATTATACTTTAAAATATTTTTAAAGCAATTTAACTAGATGAATATCATTTTATTGCTGAGGGTACATTTGAATGAGATATTTCAAGTGAATAATTCACTCTTTTAAAAGAATTTATAATATTACAAGTTAAAATTTATTGTTTGAAATTTTAGTGGAAAAATTTAATAGATTAAAATATAAAAAATTTTAAATTCTAAAAAAGTGTGAGAATTTAGAAGTACTTATTTTTATTTATTATATGTTTCATTCATATTTTTATTTAATCATGATTAATTTAATAATTAAAATTTCATATTTTAATTAACTTGATCAAATATAGTGATACTTTTATTATTTTTTTTAAATGTAAGTAATTTAACTCTTTTCAAACAAAAATATTTTAAATGAAAAAAAAATTAATTATTATATTAAAATAAAATATTTTAAAATAATAAAATTTGAATTTTTTAAAATTTTAAATTCTCTAAAATTTTTAATTATCTCATCCAAAAACAACAATATTAATAACAAATTAACAATGGCATAAAATTTTAAAATTTATGAGAATAAAAAAGTAATAAAATATTTATAGAAATGCGTTACTTAACCAAAATATATTTATGGTAATATATTATTAAGAGTTATTACTTGTTTGGAGCATTTTCCATATAACTTAATAAAACTAATAAAAATAATTCATAACCATTATAATTTTTTTAAACATAGTTTAATAAAATCTCAATTGATGTTTATCAAAATAATTTATGATCCAAACTTTTTATATGAATTTATTAAATAAATATTTAATTAACTTATTTATTCAAAAATTACACATTTTATTTTTTTTACTAAAGATTAAAAGTACATATTTTTATATTTTTAAAGACAAAAATAAAATTTAAAAATGCATTAATGCAAAAAAAAATCATATTTTTAAGAATTGAAAAATAGTTGTCATCATTTCAATATATTTCTACAATCTAAATTACTGATAAAATATCTAACTTTTTATTATAAAGTTAAATGCTTGCAATTAAACGAAAAATGTCTAGGATGAACTGATTTTTCAGCAAGTTACGCAACCTTTTTCCCCATCAAATATCTCATGTTTTACTTTTTCTTAAAAAAAAAAAATTATCCCTCACAAATACTATTATTGGAACTTAAATTTTAAAATTTTCATACACCACCACAATTTAATAAACATAGGAATTATATAACTTTATTTAAATAATTTATTTTTATAATTTTACTTAATTTTAAAAATCTATTATCTTGAATTTATTTTTATTTATTAACACAAATTTTTAGTAATTAACAATAAGGGCATCATTTATCATTTTCTTTTCTTTTAGAAAAAGGCATTATTTTACCATTGTTTGTAAAAGATAATAATTATATCTAACAAAATTCAAATTTAAAGTAATTATGTCTTGAGCCAGGGGGTTTATGTGAAGGTTGATTGTAGACAGTGGAGGTTAAAGGTGATAGTTCATGGTGGTGGGTTTGGAGGTCATCTAGAAAAGGTGTTAAACAATTCAATGTCTTTCTTCTCCACGAATGTGTTAGAGAATCAAGAGATCAGTGTGTTATGGAAAATATTCTAGTGGTGGGGTTCGATGGCTGACACCTTTGTCCCTAAAAAACGTGATAAGATGGGACAAAAGTTTGGCTTCGTCAGATTCTCAAATGTGCGTGATGCGGAGGGTTTGGAGAAAAGTCTGGGTTCTATTGTTATTGGTTCCTAGCACTTGCAAATCAATCTTTCAAGTCACTTGCAAGTGATGCCGTCGGCAAGGAAAAGGGATGATAAGGTTGCAAAAAACAGGTGTATGTTTGATCTAGGATAGGAGCGTTGAATGGGAATATCCTATATTGACAAGTTGAAGGGTAAGGTGATGCCTGAACCTAGTGTTACTAGGGAATGTGTGCGTAAGAAAGAGTCATGGTCTGATGTGACATATTTTAGGTTTATATTTATAGTTTTATTTTGGTTTATAAACACTTTTAATGTGCTTTGTTTTTAGAGTTCTTACTATTTTCTACTTATTGGAATAAATTAGGCCTATTACATATAAATATTTTAATTTTGTATTTTTCGGTAATTCTAACCTATGACTATTCTTTTGGTCATAACTTTTTCTACGGATATCATTTTTGGCTGATTTTAGTTGCATTAGATTCTACACATCCAGGGCTTCAAAATGCATATATGGATCGGTGAATTCGTAGTTGATTTCAATTTTTTATTATTTTTGAAGTTGAGGTAGATTTGATGAATATTGTTGCGAGATTGCATTTAGACGCTTTGTTATTAGATAATTGTATTTGGGCTTGTAGTTATAATTAAGGCTCAAATTTTATCCATTTAGTTTACCCTAATCAAAGCTTATAAATAGACTAATAAGGTTTTGATTTAAGGGGTGATAAAAACACTTTGAGATTTTGAGACTTGGCCGAAATAAGAATATTTGTTTTTACCTTTTCTCAAACTCTGTCATTCTTGCATGGGTTAAGTGCTTTAATGGAAAGCTAAACCTTTCGTTCAATCCGCAGAATCCAAACGCTATAATTCTGACTTGAGTTATGTGTTAAATTGCTCTGAGTTTGTTCTCTTCTTATCTCTAATCTCAGGATTGGGTATTGCGATTGTGATTAACTTTTCTGTTATTAGAATTCAAATTAGGACTCGATTAATGCTTGATTTGATAATTAATACGAATTAGATTAAATGATTATTTGATTTAATTCGTAACTCTGTTTAATTAGGTTATTTGATTGAATTAATAATTGAATTGAGTGATTGTTCAAACTCAGATTTAAATATTTAGATACTGTGTTAATTGGAATTACACGCATTTGATATTCTATAGATTGATATTTCTTAATTTATTTTTATTCAATTTTATTGTGTCTGTAATTCAATTCAAATAATTTATAATTTTCAAAACCTCAAAAACCTTATTTGCATTTTTTTAAAATAAAACCTAAAATTAAATTTGACTGAGAATATGTCTCAATGAATTGACTTAGGTTTGGCTCTACACTACAAAATATTTAGAAAACTTAGTTATTTTGATAGCGACTCAACATCGTCTATCATGGTGTCATCTACATTTTTTGGTTGATGCTGAGGTAATTGATGATTGTTGACATGCTATGGTAGGACAACTATAACGCCAACAAGGTTTGGGTTGTGTTAGGAAGGAGTTACTCCAAGAAGAGTTATTGGATATTAAGACCATTACGATGAGGAATGATATGGTCTTGGTGGAGTCGGATGCTGGTGTTGATTGAGGATACTATTCTCATAAATAGGAATTTATGGGAGAAGTGGTTATATGATATATTTGAGTGGCATCCTAGTATGATGTATGTGCAGAGAGAGACTTGGGTTCGTTGTTATGGGATTCCCCTCCTTGCTTGGATGGAGTCTTTTCTCAAAAAGATAATGTTCCAGTTGGAAGAGTTTATGCAGGTTGATGCAATTACAATCATTTTTATATCATTGCATATGACATTGTGGACATAGAGAATAAGGAGAATTGGAAGTGGTTTTCTAGTTGTTGTATGGAACCTTGGTGACTTGAATAAACTACAAAAAATTATAATTGAGTAGTTTATTATGGAAGTGTGCAAGGGCTATAATAATTCCTTAATTTAATATGAACATGACATATTTAAAAATAATAAATGAAAAGGCCTAAGCTTATTTGTCTAAGTGGCCAAAGAATCCACAGATAAAGATTCATTTTAATAAATGAGTAAAAATAGATAATACATGTAACCATAAATGTGAAGTGTTTAGTGCTAAAGTTTTAGAATTTGGGAACAAATTAATTGTAAAATTTCTTAAAGAAGTGAGATGCTACATTCTAAGAACCATATGTGAAAATAAGCAAAATTTAACCGCACATACTAACATTTTATTAACTATATAACAAAGTAGACTTGAAAAGGAAAATTTTGAACAAGTGTACTCAATTATAATTCGATAAATGTGATACTTTTAATGGTGTTATTTGTCATATAAAATAATTTTAACCTTCATTTGTTAACTAGTATGATAATAAACACAAATTTGAGGTTCATATCAACCTTCCAAACGTGGTTGTAAATTTAGGCAATCATACTTATTTGTGTAGATTTTGACAACTTATAAATATGTATTTATTATGTTTATTATATATTTTTTAATAAACTAACTATTTTTGTTTTGCTTATGGTAGGTATGGTAATAGTAACAAACAAAAATGAAAATTAAAGGGTCATTATTATTATTGGATCATGATGAATGCTTATAGAACAATATATCAATACTTTGTAGTACTATGAGAAGGGAAAAATATTAATCAAATTGCATTAATTCATCTACAAATTAGAAGTTCTAACCAAACAAAATAAAAGTAAAATATAAAAAAATAGAATTTCAATCTAAAAGCATCCATATGATTAGGAGAAAGAGTTTATATACATAACTCGTGGTAGGTCTAATTACATTATTGGTTGTCCTAAACTAAAAGACAAAAATGATAAAAGGCTCTAAGTCTAATAATGAGAATTTTGCACTATCAACAAAAATTAACCTATCCTAAGGAAATCCATGCACACAAGAAAAAATTGATCAACCACAATTAAAGTCTTATAAAACACTAATAATTGTAACTAAAGAGAAGACTCTTGGATTAAGGTGTAAATTATCAAGTGAAACAAGCTCCACTAATGCAAATGAACATAACTCTTGCCATTGTTGAATTGACTAATATTCCTGCTACATGTAGTTTAACAAAAGCCAACTTTCCTTTTGATCCAAATGTTGTAAATATTCCTTATCAAGAATCAACACTGCAATAATTTTTATGCCAACATAGAGAGTTCAACATGATAAGTATTACAATATTGTGTGTGTTAAGATATTAGGGTTTTAATGTACGAGCATAATCTTCACTCATACATTCTCAATCAAACAAAACTTTGCAAATAGTTTAACATCAAACATATTCAAATCTATACAATAAGCGATGTTTGATGTAGATTTAATAATGAATCATGTCTATCATTAACATGCTTCATGTCATGCTTGTGGTCCAAAAATGCTAATGTCTCACTACATTGCATAATCATCATTTATTGGACGTGATCATATGACTTCATTCCTTATTAGTAGTAGTTCACAGGCAAAACATAATATATTCAATTAAAAATATATCTTATGGACAAATTTAGGAATGAGCTTATTACAACTTTGGTAATTTTTGTTCAAGTGAGACTTGCGTAAGTTTACTAGTGATTGGCCCAGTCACCAAGGCACTACTCTGTATCATTAAGGCAACACTCAAACCATTTCCAAGGTTCACATAGAACTTAAAATACTTGATATTTCACAACTATACTAAAATGTAACTTTCATGACTACATCAACTCCATCAGGAATGGACTTACCACAACTTTAGTAATGTTTATTTAAGTGAGACATGCGAAAGTTTGTTGGCGATTGGCCTAACCATAAATGTGCTACTTTGTGTCATTTATGTAACACCCATAGATGATTCCCAAAGTTCATTCTAGAATTTAAAATATATGATATCCTATAACTATATTGAATTATAACTTCTATGACTACATCGATAATATGCATGTTCTAACCATGATGAGTATGAATATTCACACAAGGCAATATTCTCCTCCAGAGTATAATTGCTTAACTATTAAACTTACACTAAATTGCACTGAAAAGAGTGTTTCAAAGGTTGAACTCATAATCATATGCACTTCCTTAATTTGGAATAGTATTGGAGCTTATGACTAGCTGGAAATTAGGAGATTTATGGGTAAGGTAATGGACAAAACAAAGATTATTGAATTAATTAAGACAAAATCATGCTTTGGGCTGAATAACTATTATGCATTGCTCTAATATCTTTAATCACGTTAACTTTAAATACATTGCAGTACCTTAAAATAAAACATGAGGCCTACTAACGTAATTAAAATATTGACATTAAAATATTGGGTACATATAATCAAACAAAATATATCTTGACATTAAAATATTATGTACAAAGGTAGCATGAGGCCATAATAAAAATGCATCTATAAATATCATTATTTACTTGTATTTGTTTTGAATTGGTGTTTTTTTTATATCCTTTTGGATCAATAATCATGCTTTATAACAGTGAGTTAGAGTAGCCTCTTATACTTCAATTTTTAAAATATTATTTTCCTTATAAAAATATAATTTATTTTTAAAAAATTATTTAAAAAATATACACACTTTTTTTTATTTAGTGTTGAATTAGTTTATGACAAATATGCCAATTAAAATATGACCGATTGAGTGTATTTAAAGACTAATAAATATATATTTAATACAAAATTTGTAACTAAGAACACTAAATTATACATAAATTTATAAGCATTTAACGTGAATCTAAACAGAATATTTGACATGGTTACGTTATGTTAACTCAACATTGGGTGGTGTATGACAGTGTGATCTCCTTCTCTTTGATATGCAAAGTGGAATTTAACAGAAAACCTTTAATTAGAAGTCCTTATGCCTATACACTAAATTGGGTATATATGCAATTAAGTGTCCCGGCATTGATAGTGTGACTTTCCGAAATTTTAGGTTCAACCGCTCACCTACCATCTTTCTCGCTTCTTACCCCAACGACATGAAATCAATTATATTTATATCAATAAATAAAATACAATCAATATGAATAGTTTTAAAAACTTAATAGACTCATAATTTAATGAACATTTTTCTCATTAATTCTACCCCTCATTGGTTCATAAGTCTAACCATGATACCACTAAAAAACACAAATTATAATGCAAAATTGATTGATTTTAAAGATGATATATATAATTATATTTAAATACATAACTTCTAATATTAGCGACTCTTTCTATATGGTTATAATCTTGTTAAAAAAATTACTATTCTTAATTAAATATTCATTAATTTTATATTTTAATGCACACAATGACAACACAAAGAATAAAGAGATATAAATGTCATAACTTTTGTTTTTCTGAAATAAAACATTTTTCTAATTATTTTACTAAATCATGTTTTACTCTTTCCAATTGTTATGTTTTTCCTAAATTTAATAGCTTTGTAACTTTTATTTTTTAAAATGGTAGGTAAAGAATGCGTTTATAGTAATTTATTTTTATTGAAAGTTTTCTAAAAAGAAGTAAATCCAAACACGTACTAATGCTTTTTAATACTTTATTGGACCTGGAGAGAATTCACAATTAAAAGTGAAGATGCAAGAAATCAAAACCAACGATATAACCATGAACTTATTAAAAAAAATAAGGGTATTGATGGTTAAAAATAAATAAAATTAAAAATTATGTTGATAATGTATTAAAAAATAATAGGTAACAATAATAGCTTTTCTTAATAATTTTTATTTCTTAAGCAAAATTTTTAAGATACTAGTTAATATTTTTCAAAATCCAAAGAAAGATATAATTTTATTTAAGAAATTGTTGAAACATTAATCTAGCTGATTTTAAATATTTAAAAATGATAAAATTAATTTAAAATCAAATATTTATTAAGGGAATTAGGGCAGTCAGAAATCCATACATATAAGAGCACCCATATCATATATGAACACATCTTGCTCGTATCTTTTATATTCTGAGTAAATCGTCATAAATCTCTTTCTTCTACAAGTTTGTATAGGGATCAAACACGTCTAAAATACATCTTTAAAAGATTAATATTATTAACCTTTACAAACGCAACTCTTTCACTTAGTCATCATCTCATGAATTTTCTTGTCAAAATGCTAAGCTCTAACTTTATAATATAATTTGACTTGTCTAATTATAACAGTTCAAGATAAGGAAAAAAAAAAAACTTATAGTTCAAATGCAAAAATTAAATCTTTTAATCAAGAGACATAACCGAGAAAGGAAAAAGAAAACATTTTTGATTCTAAATGTTAACGATGTTAGCTTATTCCTTTTTCTATCCCAATTTATGTTTCGTTCTCCACCATTTGTTTTTTTTCCCCTTAAAAATTTAAATTTCACACATCTCCCCCAAAACACCAGCCACCAAAAAACGCAAGCATAAATATCAGTACAAATGGAATATCCTACTTTTGCGAATCAAGATTCATTTTTTTTATTTTCTATTTTTTTTCATGATTAATTATTAAATATTGTTAACCGATGTCCGCACTTAAAAACTAAGTAAATAATAATTTTAATAAAAAATCTATTAAAAATCATAAAAGTTTATTTTTATAATTTTGAATAAAAAATATATTAATAAATTTAATATTTTTCGTAAAATTGTTTCACTTTCAGGTGAATGCATCTTATTAAAGTATCTTCCGTTTCAAAACAACACATGTCTCTCTCTCTCTCTTGGACTTACCTACCCCGATTCCACCAAGTCACACACCAAACCTTGCTGGTGGCGGACACTCCGAGGGACTCTCTCTCTCTCTCTCATTCATTCTCCATAAAAACTAAGAAGGCACAGCCTTTGGCTCTCTCTCATAGAGATACACAAGAGAAGCGCGCTCTTGTGTAGCGTTTCCGTTTATAGTTTTCGCTTTTCAGATCTCGAAAATGCAAAGCGCAGCTTTCACTCTCTCCCCTTCTCTCCCTCTCCGCAACATCAACCACAACAAACAGTGGAGACCTTCTCTCACCGTTCGTTTCTCTGCCAAACCCAACAACAACGAAGGCGTAAACTCCAATGGCGTTTCTTACTCATGCTCTTCCTTCACACGCCGATCTTGGTGCCTCGCTCCTTCGTCTTCCTTCAAGTTCAGACCCCTTCCTTCTCCCCCTGTTCGCGCCGCCGATAGCGTTGTTCCCGAAAGCGCTCCCTCTGAAAACGCCTTTTTCAAAACTCTCGAACTCGGAGCCTTGTTTGGCCTTTGGTACCTCTTTAACATCTACTTCAATATCTACAACAAACAGGTTCTATTCCTCTTCGCTCTCGCGAGATCTGTTATTCTCTCTTTTATCAATTTAAAAATAAGCGATTATTGCTAAGGAATAATCGTTTGCCATGCACGCACTTTGATTTGTGTTGATTTGATTGTAATTGTGAAAGGAATTGTAATTGGCAATGCTTGGTGAATTGGATTTGGTTTTATCGTGATGCGTTTTTTGTGTGTGTGTCTTTTGTTCTTCGCAGGTGTTGAAGGCTTATCATTTTCCGGTGACTGTTACGGCTGTTCAATTTGCTGTTGGGACTGTGCTTGTGACGTTAATGTGGGGTTTGAATCTCTATAAGAGACCGAAAATAAGTGGTGCTCAGGTATTTTGTTCTCTTGCTGTGTTGAATTTGTGTGTTTGTGTTGTGTTTTGTGATGTTAATGTTGGTTGTATGTGATTTATTGGCAGCTTGCGGCTATTTTGCCATTGGCTTTGGTCCATACTTTGGGGAACCTTTTCACCAATATGAGTCTTGGAAAGGTGGCTGTGTCGTTCACTCACACGATCAAAGCTATGGAGCCTTTCTTTTCGGTGGTCCTTTCTGCCATGTTTCTTGGAGAGGTTAGATATACTATATATTTTTGTCTATTCTTGCAACGCAAGCAAATTATTGTTATTATTATTATTATTAGTGGCTTTTGTTGCTTGCATAAAATATCTTTTTTGTTCACGTAATTGATGATGATTATCGTACTGGTATATTTCTAACGTAGTTGGCTGTGATCAGTTATGTATTGTTAGGATTTTCCTTTGAAAGGAAATTAAAACATTTGATACATTGAGTTAATGTTTTCCAATCTTAATTCCATGTTTAACTTTCTGACAGATGCCTACACCATGGGTGGTTGGTTCCCTTCTGCCTATTGTTGGTGGTGTTGCACTGGCATCTGCTACTGAGGCCTCTTTCAATTGGTAAGGTGCATGTTCTTTGTCTTGTTCCTTCTAGAGGAAGAGGAGAGGTTATTTGAAACGAGAAGTTTTGGTCATGTGAATTGGAATATTTTTTTTTGTGGTATGTTGAACAGGGCTGGATTTTGGAGTGCAATGGCGTCAAATGTGTCAAATCAGTCTCGTAATGTTCTTAGCAAAAAGGTCATGGTTAAGAAAGAGGTAATATGATCAATGAGCTCGTCTAAATGTTTTGGTTATATTTCATTATTGATATTAATATTTCCATGTCAGAAGCCCGTTTGTATAACAAGCATTTTATTCTTTTCAGGATTCTATGGACAACATTACTCTCTTCTCTATAATAACAGTAATGTCATTCTTCTTGTTAACACCTGTGGCTGTCTTCATGGAGGGTGTCAAATTTACCCCTGCTTATCTGCAATCTGCTGTGAGTATCTTGATGGTTAAAATAGATAGATTGCTGTTACCATTAGCCACAATCAAAAGATATTATTATGTTGAGTTTACTAACATTATCACAACTTTCTTGAAGGGGTTAAATGTTAGACAATTGTACATCAGATCTCTTCTTGCTGCTCTCTGTTTCCATGCATATCAGCAAGTGAGTTTTTTTTCTCTCCTATGCATTATGCCCTTTTATATATTTTGTTGTTTTTGGGGATGCATTGAAGTTTCAACATGCATGCATCATGTAATGGTGGTATAACTGGTTCGATAGATGATGGCACCTTCAACATCAACATCACACCCCGTCATAGAGATTGGGGCCAGTGACAGTTGAGCTGCAAACTTATTGCTATTCAAGAATCAAGAGTGTTTTAATCTATGATTCTTATAAGCATTTTACTTTTGGACTGCTAGACTAAACATAATTGATTGTTACTTATTTGTAAAAATCAATTGTTTGATGTGTAATGTTAAACATAATAGGATAAACTTCTTACATGGTTAAGAATATTTTAAAAAAGTTAAGAAACAGTACAACTATTATGCTGTGTGATATTATACTACTAGTATTCAATGTCTTGTAACTCAAGAAGAGTTTTCTGCCTGTGGAGAGCATTCAAGTGTTGGAGTGGGCTTCATTAATTAATTAAGTGATTATGACTGAAGTCTTTCCTTATCCTAACGTCTTTTTGACTAATTAAATGCAATTAGAAAGTTGTTTTATCCGAAGAATTTTGTGCTTAAGAAATAAAGTCATTACTCATTTCTGAGCTAATATACAGACATGAACGGCGATGGTAGTGGAAACTTTTTAACACTACTGTCATTAGAGGAAAAAATTAAATGGAGGAAAACAAAGTAATGAATAGGGAGTCTTCTCTTTGCTACTTACTGGCTAGGCCTTATATAAGGTTTTGTACTGTAATTTTTGACGTATTTCGGTCATCGGCTTGCAGGTTTCTTACATGATATTGCAAAGGGTATCACCCGTTACGCACTCTGTGGGCAATTGTGTGAAGCGAGTTGTGGTCATCGTGAGCTCTGTCATCTTCTTCCAAACGCCTGTCTCTCCTGTGAATGCTTTAGGTAAAGTTGCTTATTTCTGGTTTGAACAGTAAAAAAGGTTGATTTTTGCTTTTAAGTTTTCTTAACTGTTCAATATCTCTTCCCGCCTGTTGCTGAGTTTTTAAATATTCTTTTTCTACAGGAACTGCTATTGCACTTGCTGGTGTTTTCCTCTATTCAAGGGTGAAGCGAATCAAGCCAAAGCCAAAAACAGTTTAGTTTTGAATGGTAGATTTTTGTTAGTGGCATCAACACAAGCCAAATAGTTGCCAATTCTGAATTTCTTTTAGGTGAGATAGGGAATATGAGGATTACCTTTATTGACCCCCGCATTTCTTCCTTTTTCTTTTTCAAGTTACCCTGTGGATTTCATTATTTATGTCTGAGTAAGTGCCTATTGGTTCTTCTCCCTGAAAATTATCCTCCTTTGAATTTTGCCCAAACACCACATCAAGGTTTGCTTTGAATGTATCACTTTGCTTACAAACATATGTAATCGGCTATTGATTGGTTAAATGGTGTTAAGTTCTTCCTGGGGACTGGTCCCTCCTTAATCTGTCGAAGTTATGACTTTCCTGAATATTCTTTTCTCAAACCAATGCGTGCATTGATTGTAAAAGCCGATACATTATCTTGAAACTTTTGCTTAGTCGAGAAGCAATCTTATCAATAGATTATGTAAAATATCTCCAATATGGGTTCGTAACCAATATATTTACCGGTATCGGTTTTCTGGTAACAGTAATGCAATGTGCACAAGAGAAATACATAGTATCTGCAAACATTTCCTCCGAACATAAAAGAAAGGTAATTATCAATACTACAGGTTAGCGTGCGTATTAGGCCCAGTTTTTTACGCTTTGAGTGGTTCAGAAAGATAAAAAAAAAGCATGGAACAAATAGAACAAAATAAATCCACGAGGTTAATTTGTATAGCTTTTTTATTGTACACGAATAACATCAATGAATATTGATTTTGCTCTTTATATATATATATATAGAGGGCAGAATCTTCTTACACCAGTATTAGAGTTGTTAAAACGGGCAGTTCGGTCCGATACGGGTACTAGGCTCAAACGGGTCAGGTTTAATTAGTTCAAGGTAAAAATGAGTTTATATTTTTACTGTCCAAGTTTTATCCTTATGCGGGCTACGGGCTTTTGCAGGTTGACTCGACGACTCAAATATTTTTTATTTTTGTAACGTCATTTTTTTTACTGTTTTTATAATAACAAATCATTGTTTTTATTGCTATTTTTAGTGTTTGTAACATATCATGTTAAGCTATTTTTGCAAGAACTTAATAGACCACTCATTTTTTATGTCTAATTTTTATATTATACTATTTATTTGTTTTTTTTAAAGTTGTAAAAGGCTACTGGTTTCTTTTTTTTATTGTTTTTGTAGCGATGCAAAAGTATATAATTTAGACTTGTAATTTTAGAGTTTTGAAACTAAAATATATTTCCTTTCAAACTCCTTAAAACTCAGGGTTTAATCTCAATATATATATACAGCTGGCCGGACCCGCATGGGCCAACTCGGTTAAGGTCCTATCGGGTAACGGGCTTATTCAGACTGGGCCAAAATGGCCCAAGGTAATTTCAGGCCTTATATTTTAGAGCTCAAACCCGCCTATTTAATGGGTTTTTTGGGCCCAATCCATCGGGCCATCCTATTTTGCCGGCTCTAACTAGTATAAGTCAAAATCTTTACACTTAATCTGAACCTTTCATTTAATTTAAATCTATCAGGTTATAATTTATTACTTCACTGGTCGTTATATTTAAGATAAATGGAAAGTTTAAATTGGGTATAAGAGTTTTTAGACTTATACTAGTATAAGATATTTTCCTTTTATATATATATATATATATATATATATATATATATATTTGGTTATTAAATTTAGTTGAGTCTTCCAATTAATGTATAACCAAATGTTGCAAATCAACATTGATACTAATTTTAGAAAACAAATAACATAATTTGAAGAATGTTTTTTTTATCACGTGTTTAAGACTATATAATATTTAATAACAAGAAATTGTATTTAAAATATAATATTTTATATTACTAATATATTTACTTTTGTGATATACAATAATTTCAATTTTTTTATATAAGTTTATTATCTACTTTGTGTAGTTGGAAAAATCGTGAGAAGAATGATAAAGTTTTATTATTGTCAAATATATGTTGAGAGGTTAGAGTATATCCCACTACGTAGGCTGGTCAGTTTAAGGTGTATACTTAACCACAAATTAAATGTAACATAACATTACCTCTCTCTCTATATATATATATAAATTGAGTTAGATACTAGTACATTTTAATTGATACCATTATGAATTTTTTTGATAGTTGATGGAAACATAAAAATAATTTTATTGATTTACTAATTTGTTAAAAACAAATATTAAATTAAAGGAGAGCATTTTTATTTTATTAAAATGTGGGTAAAGAATCAAATTATGGATATATAAATGACAATTTAGTAAAATTTGGCACCAAAATTATTGCTTAGATTGTGACACCCAGGTGCTAGGTGAGGGCGGGGAGTGATCGTCGGTACAATGTGGCACGGACAAGAAGCGGCTACTTGGCAGACTTCTGGCGGTAAGGGACACATAAATGAATCAAACTTACACCAGAATGAGAGGGATCTAGAGGATGTGTAGGTATGAGACTATATAATTGAGGATATCTTAAAGGAATTGATTAAGACTATCTATACAAACAAAATGCATTTACTTTTCGGTGGCCTATCACTTAAGAACTCAAAAGTTAAGCGTGCTTAACTTGGAGCAATTATGGGATGAGTGACCTTCTAGAAAGTTCTCGAGAAGTGTGTGAGTGAGGACAAAACACATTAAAAAGTCTCGTTTTGGTTTGTGGGGACAGTCGTCAGTCCCAAATAAGTTACCGGGAGTGATCGCCGGTGCAATGTGACCGAATAAGGAGCGGCTACCTGGCAGGCTTCTGGCGGTAAGGGGTACATGAATGAATCGAACTTACACCAGAATGAGAGGGATCCAGAGGCTGTGTAGGTATGGGACTATACAGTTGAGGATAACTTAAAGGAATTGATTAGGACTACCTATACGAATAAAATGCATTTACTTTTCGGTGACCTATCACTTAAGAACTCAAAAGTTAACACTTAAGAACTCAAAGCACGCTGAAAAGTCTCGTATTACAAGGAAAGCCAGGATTTAGCGATGATTACCCACCAATTTAGAAACCAATTTTAAGATTTTAAAAATATGGCATTGACTTAAACTTCTGTGAAAAATATATAAAACTTATATAAATATTATTTTAGTCCTCATATAAAACACATTTTTTTATTCGATTCTTGTAAAAAAATTATAAATAAGTCTCTAAATATATATATATTTTTAAATAGTCTCTAATATTAACTTTTATTATAAAATTATTATAGTAGATTTTTATCTATTATTTTATTTTTATCTTATCCATAATGTATTTTTATTGTGGTTTTTATGCATAACATAATTTTTTTATTTTAGTTTTTTAAAAAAATTAATTATAAAGATCAAAATAAAAAATGTATTATATAAAAGTAAATTCACCATAAAAAATAAACTAAAAAAATATTATGGTGATTCACGATATATTATAAAAGTTATTTAATTATTTTATAAAACACTATTATAATTTAATATAGTTATGAAAATTATTATAAGAAGACTATATTTGAGATTTGGGTAAAATATATTTTACTCTTATTTATAAAAAAAATTATACGAAGAGAATGTGAATTAATTTTTCAATACTAAAGTCATTATATTTATTTTTTCCTAAAAAGAGTGGTGGTAGTCTCCTTAGTAGTTTTGTTAATTTGTCTTATAGATTAAAATTTTATAATTAAATTTTCTTATACTTCTAAAAAATATTATGATGAATTACTTATTTTATAAATAAAATTTAAACACAATTTTTTAACTATTGATTTGTAATTAAAATTTTGTCTCAATAACTTATGTGTTTTCATTTGTCATTGTTTTCTTAGGAATTTATGTTAGTTTCCTACGTTTTAGGTAGTTTATGAGTCTTTATTTTAATTGTTTTTAGTTAGTTGTTAGTTTTCAAGAATTTTTAGCTTTATAATAAATTTTATATGAAATGACTTCTAATCTTGATTTTATTTAATTCTTTGCTTATAGGAGTTAAAATTAAAAGCTTTACCAAGATCCTGGAAGAGCAACAAGTGAACTGGAAAATTAAAATTTCACTCCGTGAATATGATATGAACCATGCAAAAAACTTTGTATAGAGTCATATAATGTTAAATCTATGATTTTTTTTCTTACTTTTTCTGACCTTAGTACAAAATACTATTTTTTAAGATATTAGAACTCTCTACAAGGGCATTGTGGAAGCTATGGGTATTCAGGAATCAAGCTTTCCATTCTTCTAATCTCATAAAGTTTGTTATTTTAATAATTGTTTCTTTTTTTTCTTGGGTCTATGATGTGTAAATAAAATTTTCATGTAGGAGATGAATCTTAGTTTGAATTTCATATGGATTAATTTCTTCTCTTTTTGCAATTGGTGTGATTACTTATATTTTGATTGACTCTTTTGGATTAACAATCTAAGAGAGTATATGAGATTCAATTACATAGTTGAAAAACTTGTGTTAAATTGAAATTGATTTACTTCAATGACTTGGATTCTAAGAATAGGATTTGATTGTTGGTGATTTCTTATAGTTATTGCTTACTTGATTTAGAATTATATAAATAATTGGGAGTTTTGATTTAATTAAAAAGTTAAAAAACAAGAAATTGGTTTATAACTAAATTAGATAAATTAATCCTAATTCTGAGAACGTTGATTTAAGTTGAGAAAGAAATTAATATATGTGACAGGAGAGCTAAGGGAATTCCAACTCTAACATTTATCTTCATTGTTGTATTTCAATTAAAAGTAAGTGTTCTTTAATTCATATTTCATACTTTAATCCTTATTTTTTTTTTGTTTTTTTAACCTGAAAAGAAAATAGAAACTTATAAACATTAATTTGTCATAGAAATTTATACTTTGATTTAAAAATCTCATTAAGTTCCTAGGAATTTGTGGTTCAATATTGATAAGTACTTAGAAAGCTACTAATTTAAATATTTTCTCGATTGTTGTTCTATTTTATTTATGTAAGGAAATTTGGTACAAAATTTATCTTTGAATTTGTTAGGATTTTGATGAACATACTGAGCTTTTGTTTAAGTAAAGGAGTAAGAGTTATCGTATCTCATATATAGATATTTTTATAATCTTTATTATCTTAATTAAAATTCTTAAAAAAATATTAATGTTTTCACAAATATTCATGGGTTAAGAAATTTAGAGATTCAAGAATTAAAATTGACTAAAATAAAAAAAAATTAAAGTTTGAGTTGGAATTTGATTTTATCAGTCATCCTTTTTTATATTTTGATGAATAAATACCCAGAAACTGTTTTATAGATGTAGATGCACTCTTTTAATATTTTTTTTATATCAATTCCTCAAATATAAAGTTTCTAAGAGTATCTATTGAATATTTATTTCTCATATATTCAATGAATCCTCTAGCAACAAAAATAAGAGTTAAAATAACTATATATAAACCATGAAAATACTTTAAAGTTGAAGATTATATCCAATCTCAAAGAGAGTTTAG